CCCCCCGGCAGCGATTAGCACCATTTCAACCCAGGGAGACGGCGGGGGGGTCAATCCAAAGTAGAGGGGCAGATCGCGGGTGGAGGGGGGTGCAGAAGGCGTTATCGAAAGCAGAACCAAAGGGGGGGGGGGACCCGGGGGGGGGGGGGGGGGGAAGCCTTCACCGGCCCCCCCCCCCAGGTCCCTCGGTCTCTGCCCGCCCTCCCCCCCCCCCCCTCAGGAAATGATCTTGGGCGGGATCTCCACCGAGGCCTTGATGAAGACGGCGTTGTCGCGGACGTAGTTGCGCTTCTTGATGTCTTCGTGGGAGATGAACTTGGGGTAGCCGAAGCCCAGCAGGCTCTCGTCCAGGGAAGTGCGCCTGGTGCTGGGCTTCTGGAAATTCTTCCAGGCCGGGTCCGGCAAGAAGGTCTCCGTAATGTGCTGAGGCTTGGAGAGGGAAGGGTCGCTCTGATCCAGCAGCGAGAAGGTGACCCGGTAGGCGAAGGGCCACTCCAGCAGGTTGTCGTACTGACCCGGCAGCACCCGGATGTAGACGGAGAGGTGGCTGCCCTCGCCGCTCCCGTTGCCGTTCAGGAAGGCCGACACCTGGAGCCGGTAGCCGTAGCGGTGGGTGTAGAAAGGGGGGCTGAAGGACTCGTAGTTGCTCCGCAGGCGGGCCTCCTGCAGCTTCCGGCCGTAGTCGGCGATCTTCCAGATCAGCACGCCCTCGCTGCCCACCGCCAGCTCCTCCACCTCGCGGCGCAGCTCCACCAGCTCCTGGCGCTGCCGGGCCACCAGCGCCCCCATCAGGCCCAGGTGCAGCTTCGTGTTCTCCTCCAGGTGGCGGCCCAGGGAGACTTTGGGGCACTGGGGAGAGAGAAGGTGGCTAAGAGGCGGCCAGGTGCCCAGAGACGCCGAGCCGGGCTCCTCTCATCAAAGGGCCCAGTACTCCGATGTCCATGTGCCTCAGCTTGGAGGATGCACAGCCAAAGCGGCCTCTCTGCCCCGAGCCAGACGGGCCCCTCCCCACCATCCTGTGGCTTAGCAGCCTTGGCCACAAATCCCGCCCCCCACCAACTCCAGAGACATGGCAGTCCTCGATTTACGACCATTTGTACCATTTGTACTAAACAAAGACTGTTCAAAGTTGCTGTCAACTCATCAAACATTCCTAGGCCTGTTTTAGTCGTTGCCATAAAAAATGGGTGGGGGGGGAGGAAGGCAATCGGGAAGAGGAGTGCAGCGGTTTGGAAGCGGAGGTACATTCCAACTCTTTATCGTTAAAAGATTGTAGCTAAACTACCGGAGCTTTTGCCCCGCGAATATATTGAATTGGAGAACGGGATTGAGGACACCCAGCCCCGTGAGGGTGCTCAGTTGGAGGATCTGATTTATGACACCATCCAGGTGGGGAGGGGGGAGGAATAGGGGGCTGTGAATGACGTAGGCCGGAGTTGGCTTCATACAGGGCCTGGCCAGCCTGTCGCCTCTAATGAACCCTTTGCAGTTTTTTTGAAGTTGGGCTCGAGAATCGTGATTTGATTAGGAAGGTTGCTGGAACCCTGACATGAGAGCACTGCAACCAGTATTCCCAGTGGGCGCAACTGGCAGAGCGTTCTCTCCAAGAAGCCGGGGAAATGTGAAATAAGAACGGTGTCAGGACCCCAACAAATCCACCCCCATTCGGATCATAAGTCTCTCTAGCCGCATCTCTCAGAGAAAATAAAATTGATTTCTTAGGAGCGGCCATGTTGGCGTTAGCTGGGTGCGGCCAACACTAAAATACATCATTCATTTCCCTCTTGACCCTGGTCTTCCCCCCACCCCCTGGACATATATTCTCCAATGGGACAGATCCATAGCCAAGAGTCATCCATCATGCTCTCCAGTAATAATCTTGCGCGCCAGAAGCTTCGGCTGCCTAGCAATTATGTGACGCATGTAAGGAATGCACGGTTTTCCCACACACTCCCTTTCAGCTGGCAGCTAAAAAGACCAAAGGAGAATCTTTTTCGTTGACAGATGGTTTCTCTGCTGAGATCGCGGCAGCGAGACGGCTGGCAGCTGGCAGCCGAGGAAGAGGAGGGGGCTGGGGTGGGAAGGCCGGGAGGGTCTGTGGCTTACCCGGTGTTTGCAGCCGGCCTCCTTGAAGGGGCAAAGGGCCAGAGCGGTGGAGCAGTTGTCCTTCAGGTGCCCGCTCAGGTCCTCTCGGGCGATATTGGGCACCCCGCACTGATTGGGACAGGGCACGGGGTAGCGGGGGCACTGGTACTCGTGGTTCTGGAGAGAGAAAGAGAGAGAGCAGAAAAGCACCACGTGGAGTCTGCAGCATTACATGGAGTCCTTGACTTACGATATTCATTTAGTGACCGCTTGATGTTACAACGGCGACAACTTAGGATTGGGGTTTTTTTTTCACACTTACGACCGTTGCATTTTCACCCTCCCAGAGGCTTGAGAGAAGCCTCTGCAGCCTCAGGAGGCCGAAAAATACTGGAAGCGGCAAAATGGGCCTGTTTTTCGGCCTCCAAAGGCTGCAGAGGTTTTCCTTGAGTCTCCCGGAGGGAGAAAGTGGCCTTAAATGGGCTGAAAATCACCTGGGAGGCCCACGCACGCCCAGTGAATGCAGGTAGGGGGGCAAGGGTGTTACGCAGGCATGCGCAAGGGGGGCACATTGCATTGTGGATGTCGGCACATGGGCGCACTTTCAGCACACCACAACAAAAAGGTTTGCCATCACTGTTCTAGGGTTCAGAGGTAGACTGCCCCTCTGTAGTGAAGCTCTACCCTACAACCCCCCCGCCCTCCAAGGTCTTTGGGGGAACCCCTTGAAGCAGGGGAGGGATTCTACCGGTTTGCACCTATTTGCTAGAACTGGTTATTAACCTTCTAAGCAGTTCGGAGAACCGGTTGTTAGAAGAAATTACAGGGCTAATCCTGTAAGGAAGGCAGGAAGGAAACATTCTGGGGTTGCTTACAGAAACTGCCTCTCTGTTAACCCTGATTACATTCTTGGCAGGACTAGACTTCCTGTCTCAGGAACTTCTCGGGAGTTTTTTTCCCCTCCTTTGCTGGTCCTTTGCTTGTGTGGAGGGACCATTCAAAGTTACAATGGCACTGGAAAAAAGTGACATGACCGTTTTTCATACTTACGACGGTTGCAGCATCCCCACCGTCATGAGGCCAGGTGAGGAGATGCGTGCCTCAATGTGAGTGATGTTGAGTTGGCCACACCCAGCCAGTCACATGACCACCAAGCCACGCCTACCACCTAAGCCACGCCCACAGAACCGGTTGTTAAAAATTTGAATCCCACCCCTGACTTGAAGTCTCCAAGGCCACGTGTGGATGCCACAGAAGACAATGCTTCCCCGTGGCAATGCTCCCCCACGGATGTGCCCCCCCCAAATCTTTTAGGGACCCCAAAGGAGGGAGTTTCTTGGGCTACGAAGAGAGGGCACCGCAACCCCGAAATCGGGGCGTCCCCACAGCCCACCAGTGTGGGGGACCGACCCAAGCTTCTCCCCTCACGCCCCCCCGCCCCCAAAGGCCAGGGCGCCATTCAGGCCACCCCCTCCCTAGGGACCCACCTGGATGGTGTCGTAGAGGAACTCCTTGGCACAGTAGCTGCAGGGCTGGGTGCGCTTCGGACACTCGGCCAACATGTGCTGGGACAGCAGCCGGCGCATCATGCGCGCCCCACACTTGTT